TGTTATATCTGCTCACCTGGGTTAGCCCACATTCAACACTTATACTATGCAGAGTTACTAAGAGTAGGCCCACTCCTCACTAGGAAAGGCTATCCCAGATTCACCACTCCTCTTCTTTCTCCATTGGAGTGCCTGCGAGCTCTTTGCCTCTTCTTTGTAGCTCCATTTCTCTCTTGTCCCAATGCGGAGTTCCTCATTCCTCATACCCTGCAACACCCACCCCTATCTTACTCCCAAGAGCATTCCCGGATAAATCTTTTATTTGCAATTCCCTAAAAATCTGCCTCCCAGGACACTTGATCAAAGTTAGCCTCCTATTCCCATCCTTGACCTAGCTATAGTTTATTCTCAACATTCAGCCATAGAGATACTATTAAAACAAAGTCACTGTGTTAGTTTCCCAGAGCTTCCATAACAAAGTACTACAGACTCCATCACTCAAAACAATGTAAACTTGTGTCAGTTCTAGAGGTTAGAAGCTCAAAATCAAGGTGTTAGCAGGGTCATGCTCCAATCCCTCCCTGCCTCTTCCCAGCTTCTGGTGATGGCCATCAATCCCTGGTGTGCCTTTGCTTGCAGCTGCATCACTGGAATCTCGGCCTCTGTCATCACAAGATGTTCTGCCTATGCGTCTTTTTCTCCATACAGCATTTTCCTTTTCCTATAAGGATGCCAGTCATTTGGGATTAAGGCCCACCCTAGTGACCTCATTTTAATCTGATTACATCTGCAAAGACCCCATTTCTAAATAAGCCACATTTACTGGTATCAGGAGTTAGGGCATCAATATAACTTTTTTTTTTTTTTTTGAGATGGATTCTCCCTCTATGGCCCAGGCTGGAGTATAATGGCGGGATCTCGGCTCACTGCAACATCCGCCTCCCGGGTTCAAGGGATTTTTTCGCCGTAGCCTCCCAAGTAGCTGGGATTACAGGCACTCACCGTCATGCCCTGCTAATTTTTGTATTTTTGTAGAGACAAGGTTTCACCATGTTGGCCATGCTAATCTCCAACTCCTGACCTCAGGTGACTCGCCCACCTTGGCCTCCCAAAGTGCTGGGATTACAGGTGTGTGCCACCAGCCAGCCCAACATAACTTTTTGGGGTACACAATTCAACCCATAACAGGGACCTTCACCCAAATCCTCCAGTTGCTCCCTATCTCTCTCAGAATATCACTGAAGTGGCCTACAAAGTTCACCCCACACATCTGATCCCTGACTCTTATGACCTCACCTTTAGCTCTTCTCCCCAGAGATCACTCTGCTGCAGCCGTAACGGTCTCCTTGTTGCTCCTTCTCTCTCCAGGCTTTGCATCTGCTTCTAGAATGCTCTTCACCCAGAGATCTGCATGGCTGTTTACCTAACCTCCTTCCACCATTTGCACAAATGTTGCTTCCCAGTGATGCTTTCTCTAACACTACTTAAAATTACAAACAACCTTACCTGACATCCTTTTCTTCCTCCACAGAGCTTATCACCTAATATATACCCATAATTTACTCATTCATTGTGCTTTTTACACATCCACAATATGACTTCCCTGGACCTCTTCTGCCATAAAAAAATATTTTCAATTATATTTTACAGCTACATTGATATAAAGATAAATATAATCTCGCACAGATGTATTATTGCAATATTTATAATTTTGACTTTGATTTTTAAAGACAGCAAAATTAAAATATTTGTTGTGAGACCCTTGAGGTATTACAAACCTTATCCTCTGTGCCTAATGAATAAGTTAGTCCTGGTTTATAACTGTCTTTTTTTTTTATCAGAATGTAAACTCCTTAAAAATAAAGACTTTTCTGTTTTTCTTATTGATGTTCCCCAGCAAGTAAAATAGAGCCTGTCATATCATAATGCTCAATAAATGTTTGCTGAACATATGGAAGGCTAATATTATCATTTTGATTTTCCATTAGAATTTACGTTTTTATTGCTGTAGTGAAATAGATTTGCGTGGCCTTACATAGAATGTGCTGTTGTTTACATTTTAGTACTTCATTGTGAACACTAAGAATACTTCTGCACCAGACCAACCAATCTCTGAACTATCAACTGGATTCCAGACTTAACACAACCTTACACAATTCTTGGGAACCATGGGAAACTTATTAGAAGTGAACCAGAGAGATGACTTTTCTGTGGCCCACTTTGGCTCGCTGGAGAGCCCTATGCTGGGTCAGGAAATTATTAGAAATATTATGAGACACACAGCTTTTTGAACTTTTAAAAAACTTCCATAAAGGATTAGAAGAAACATTTTTGCTAGTACCTTGAGGTTAGCCATAATATTGAAATATTTTCTGTTTAACAAAATACATCAGGGAAAACCTTAAAATAATTTTATAGAACTAAACAAGCATGGTTGCCATATTACACAGATTTGTTTTAATGAAAAATTTTTAAAAATAACTCTGAAAACTGGTGGGTCTCAGGTGGTAGAGCAAGGATACGAGAATAAATAAATTTGATTTGTATTTATTAGAAAAGGAGAGATCAGACTTTCAATTTGATTTGGGGAAACTGAAGCTCAACGTGCAGGGATACAAATATTGCTTATTTTGTACTGAAGAATCCTAGACCTTATGCGTTTCTTAGGATAAAATGTGACCACTGAAACCTTTTTTAAGAGGAAATGTTATTTTATGGAAGGCAAAAACTCACTACTGTGCTGCATATATTTAGTAATATGCACAATATTGAAATATACAACTGATTAGCAACCTTCAGATTTATTACTTTACCCTTAGTAGAAGGACTGTGAAACATCTCATTGGTTCACCTTTCAACAATCTGATAATGTTTTTCTCAGAATTTGACTAACATTTAGTATTTAGTTACCAATGTCAGTGCTCTGTTACGCTGATGAGGAAACATACATACAATTTATTTTAATATATGTGTTACCTGGCATTATGCCTTTCATCTTGAATAAGGTATTTAAGGGTGGACGGTTGAATGAAGAACAATCTAAGAATGGTAAAATAGGATTATTTTCTTAAGGTTGCTTTCATTGCATTAATATTAGAAAATTCTTTCCTTGGAAGATTTCCTTACTACTCATTTACCCATGTAAGATATAGGATATCTCCATCAGAGCAGAGCAGAGGATAGACCCACTACTTATCAGATATATGATTAAAAACTTGCTGGGGACATTATATATAGAACCTCAATTAATAGTTGTATTAGTCCATTTTTGGTTGCTTATAATAGAATAGCTGGGACTGAGTAATTTATAAAGAAAAGGAATTTATTTCTTATAGTTATGGAAGCTGAGACAGCCAGGTTGAGGTACCACATCTGGTAAGAGCCTTCTTGGTGATGGGGATCCTCTTCATAGTCCTAAAGTGGCACAGGGCATCACATGGTCAGTCGACTGTGCATGCTAAGGTGCTAACTCAGGGCTCTCCCCCTTTTCTTATGAAGCTACAAGTCCCACTCCATTAATCCAGTAACTCCTCAATTCATTAATCTATTAATTCATGAACAGTTAAATTCATTCGTGAGGCAGAGCCTACTGACCAAATCACCTCTTAAAGGCCCCACCTTTCAATACTACCACTTTGAGGATTAAGCTCCTACATGAGTTTTTGAGGTGATAAATAATTAAACCATAGCATATAGTCAACAACTACTTGGAGCTACAGAAGTTATTTACTCCATATCATATATTTTAAAAAGGTCAAGTGCCAAGTGACTAACTGACTTGCTTAAGGTCAGTCAATAGATTACAGCAAAAGAGATTGAATTCAAAACCAGATTTATCTAATTCCAAAACATACATTGTTTTTCCTATACCTTCAAATAAGCAAAATATCAACTCTATGTAGTAATCTGGCATTTAGAAATGGAACACTTTTTTTTAAGTAACATATTAAAAGATAACACAATAAATGTATATTGCTTAAATTTTTAATTCAGTAGCTATCACATTAAAATAAGAGTTCTTACTACTAATTATTCTGTCAAGGAAACCTATATGAAAATAACAGATACGTTCCTAGGAAAATGTAGGCATTTTCCCTGACACATACTGGCCAATGGAATGTCATGTCGTTTTTTACATGTTGTCATATTCAAGTAAGTTGTGCAAATGATTCTGTGCTTTTAACTTATTTGTGCCTCCTTTTTGTGTGATTACTTATTTCTGCCTTTCCTCTTTAGTCATTTTAAACAGTTTTAATTAGTGCATAAGAATTGTACATATTTGTGTAGTACCATGTAATGTTTTGATACATGTATACCTTGTGAAATGATAAAATCAAGGTAATTAGCATATCCATCACTGCAAGTGCAAGTGTTTATCATTTCTTTGTAGTAAAAATATACAAAATTCTCCCTTCTAACCATTTTGAAATATTAGATTCATTATTGTTAACTAGAGTCAAGCACTGTACAATAGGACATGAGAACTTATTCATCCTATGTAATTATAACTTTTTACATGTTCACCAATTTCTTTCCCTAAACCTCTCTCTTCCCCAGTCTCTTGAAACCACTGATCTCTGCTTCTGAGATCAGCTTTTAAAATTACACATATGAGTAAGATCATGCAGTATTTGTATTTCTGTACTTAACTTATTTCACTTAACATAATGTCTTCCAGGTTCATTCATGTTGTCACAAATGACAAAATTTCATTTTGTTAAATGACTGAATAGTGTCCCATTGTGTGTATATGTACACTACATTTTATCAGTTCATCCATTGATGGATACTTAGGTTGATTTCATATCTTGGCTATTGTCAATAAACATGGGAGTGAAAGTATATAGTTGATGTACTGATTTCATTTCTTGTGGTTTATTTCCAGTAGTGGGGTAGCTGGATCACATGGTAGTTATAATTTAATTTTTTTGAGGAATCTTCATACTGTTTCCCATGATGGCTCTACTAATTTACATTCCCACCAAAAGTGTGTAAAGGTTCCTTTCCCCCACATTCTTGCTAACCTTTATCTTTTGTCTTTCTTTTTTTTTTCCAGAGTCTCACTCTGTCACCCAGGCTGGAGTGCCCTGGCATCCTGGCTCACTGCAAGCTCTACCTCCTGGGTTCAAATGATTGTTCTGCCTCAGACTCCCAAGAAGTTGGAATTACAGATGCATACTACCACACCCAGCAAATTTTCGTATTTTTAGTAGAGACATTAATAACAGTCATTCTAACTGGAATAAGGTGATGTATCATTGTAGTTTTAACTTGCATTTTCTAATGATTAGTGATGTTGGGCATGTTTTCATATGTCTGTTATTCATTTATATGTCTTCTTTTGGGGAATGTCTATAAAGTCCTTTTGCCCATTTTAAAATCAGACTTTTTTTTTGTTATTGAGTTGTTTGAGTTCCTTAAATATCTACTTGTTACTTCTTGTCAGAAGCATAGTTTGCAAATATTTTCTCCCATTATCTAGGTTGTCTTTTCACTTTGTTTATTGTTTCCTTTACTGTGCAGAAGCTTTTTAGTGTTGACGTAATCCCATTTGTTTATTATTGCTTTTCATTGCTTGTGTTTGGGGAGTTTTATTAAAATAATTATTAGTTTAATGTTATGAAGTGTTTCTCCTATGATTTACTCCAATAGTTTAATAGATTTGGGTTAACATTTAAGCCTTTAATCCATTTTGAGTTTATTTTTATGTGGTAAAAGATATGGATCCAGTTTCATTCTTCTGCATATGGATATCTAGTTTTCCAAGCATCATTTAATAAAGAGACTGCCCTTTCCCCCATGTGTGTTCTTGGAAACTTTGTTGAAAATCACTTAGCTGTAGATGTAGAGTTTAATTTCTGGATTCTCTATTCTGCTCAATAGGTCTATTTATTGGTTTTTACATTAATGTCATGCTATTTTGATTTCTATAGTTTTGTAATATATTTTGAAGTCAGGTTCTGTGATCCCTGAAGAAGCTTTCTTCTTCTTCTCTTCTTCTCCTTCTCCTTCTCCTTCTCCTTCTTCGTATTTCTTTCTTAAGATTGCTTTGGCTACCTCGAGTATGTTGTTGTTGCATACAAAGTTTAATTCATTTTTCCCTATTTCAGTGAAGAATGTAATTAGTATTATGATACAGATTGCACTGAATCTGTAGATTGCTTTGGGTAGAATGAACAATTTAGCAATATTAACTGTTCCAATCCATGGACATGAGCTATCTTTCCATTTATTGGTATCTTCTACAATTTATTTTACCAAAATTTTACAGTTTTCAGTGTAGAAATATATTACTTCCTTGGTTAAATTTATTCCTAGGAATCTTATTTTTTTGATAGCTACTACAAATTGGATTTTAAAATTTCTTTTTCATACAGTTCACTGTTAGTATGTAGAAATGCTACTGTTTTGTGTGTTGATTTTGCACCTGCAACTTTGCTGAATTTGTTTATTAATTCTATCAGGTTGTTTGGTGGAGTCTTTAGGGTTTTCTATATCTACAATTATGTAATCTCTAAATAGGGACAATTTGACTTCCTCCTTTCCAAATTGAATACTTTTATTTGTATTTTTTTTATCTTATTCAATTTATCTGTCTAGGACTTGCAGTTAAATGGAATATTAAATGGAATGGTGAATGTGGACATTTTTGTCTTGGCTAAATATTAGGGGAAAAGCTTTCAGCTTTCCTTCATTCACAATGATGCTAGCTGTGGATTTGTTACATATGGCTGGCTGATATGGTGTGGAGGTATCCCCTTTCCAAGTCAATTTACAATTGTTATGTCCTTTTCTGAAATTGACCCCTTTATCATAATATAATGACCTTATTTGTCTCTTTCTACAGTTTTGGCCATAAAGTCTATTTTACATGATATTATAAATGTATCATGTTTTATTTATATACAAATACACATAAAATACACACATAAATACATATATATATATAAATGAGAGCAGCTGTAGTTTTATACATATATATACACACACATGTATACACACATATAGACACATATATGTGTGTATATATATGTATATGCATAAAACTACTGCTGCTCTTATTTGCTTTTCATTTACATGGAATATCATTTTTCATTCATTCAATTTCAGTGATGAGTTTCACTTATAGGTGTAGTGAGTTGTAGTCAGAAAATAGATCGGTCTTTTAAAATCTTTTCATCCACTCTATATCTTTTAATTGGAGAATTTAATCCATTTATATGCAAAGTTGTTATTTATAGGTAAGAACTTACCCCTGCCATTTTGTTAATTGTTTTCTGGTTGTAGCCCCTTTGTTTCTTTTTCACTCTTTTTCTGTCTGGGTTTGGTGGCTTTCTGTGCTTATAAATTTTGATTCCTTTCTCTCTCTCAATTGTATATCTACTGTAACTTTATCTTTATAATTATAATTGGGGCTTACTTAAGATTTTGTATAAATATAACAAATATAAGAAACTATTTTAAACTTATGACAACTTAACTCTTGTCACATAAAAAATATTCTAGAATTTTCTTCTCTCCCACATCACAGTTTAAAATTTTGTTGTTTTGGTTTAGCTCTTTTTATATTGTCTATTATTTAAATTTTATTTTAGATATAATCACCGAACATTCTGATTTTAACCTTCATATTGGAGATTTTAAAATTTACATATTACTATTATAGGAGTACTCTGTTTATGAATTTACCTCTACCAGCAAGGTTTATCCATTCATATGTTTTCACATTGATAGTTATTTGTCCTTTCACTTTCAGTTGAAGCTCTCCCTTAAGCACATTGGATAAGGACTGTCTTGTAGAAATACATTTCCTCAGCTTCTGCTTGTCTAGGAAAGGCTTTATTTCTTCTTCCTTTCTGAAGGATTCCCTTGTTGGGAATAGTATTTTTGGTTGGAATTTTTTTTTCCACACATTTTTAATATATCATTCCATTCTCTCCCAGCCTGCAAGGTTTCTGCTGAGAAATCTGCTAATAGTCTAACATAGATTCCTTTATATGTGATTTGATGGGTTTTTCTTGCTGCTTTTATAATTATTTCTTTGTCTCTAACATTTGACAGTTTGAAAATAACATGCCTTGGAGAGGACCTCTTTGGGTTGAATCTGTATGGGATCCTGTATATTTCTGGTATCTGGATGTCTGAATCTCTTCCAAGACTCAGGAACTTTTCAGCTAGTATTTTGTTAAACAAACTTCCTCTGCTTTTCTATGCCTTTGCTGAACAGTTTTCTGTAAGTCATGCAGATGTTCTTTATTCTTTTTATGTTTTTCTCTTTTTCTTCTCACTGTGTTTCAGAAGACTTGTCTTCAAGTTCAGAGATTCTTCAGTTTTATCTACTATGCTACTGATGCTTTCAATTGTATTTTTATTTAATTTATTGATTTATTCAGTTCCAAGATCGCTGTTTGGTTCTTTTTTAATGATATCAATCTCTGTTGAATTCTCCCTCGGACTATGGATTTTTTTTTCTGATTTTATTGAATTTTCTTTCTATATTCTCTTGCAGTTTGCTAAGTTTCCATTTTGAATTTCTTTTCAGACAATTCATAAATCATCATTTATTTAGGGTCATTTGCTGGATAATTTTTTGTGTGCTTCTTTCATGTTGTCATGTTTATTTGCTTCTTTATGTATTATTTTGTCCCTGTGTTGATATCTGTGCATCTGGTGGAACAGTCACCTTTTCTGATTTAATAGAGTATCTTTTGTGGGGAAAGACTTTCACCTGCAGATATGTCTCAGGTTGTTAGTTAAATAGAGTGTGTTGGCTTTGATTCTAGGTGGGTGTAGTTGTGTAATCTCTGAACAGTTCATTTAGCTATAGTCAAATTTAGCAACATCTGCTAGTTCCTTGGTGGCCTCTCTGTAGGAGTTTGTGTGTCAAGTCCACTGAATCAGGATATGTCTCCCCTGGTAGTAAGACACTTGGCTGGTGAGTGCAGGGTTAGTCCACTAGCTCATAGCAGGGTCCCCCTGGAAGTGGCATATCTCCCTGGTGAATATGTTGACTAATCCACAGCTTTGGGATAGAGAACCCCTGGAAATGATGCACCTAGCTGGTAACTGCTTGAGCTACATAGGGGACAGTCTGCCAGGTTTGGGTGGAGATCCACGGGGGATGGCATATCTAGGCGGTGAGCACAGGGGCTGGTGCACTGCTTTGGGGCAGGAAATCCCTAGAAACTGTGCTCCTAGCTGGTGAGCATATTGGTGGCACTTCCAGGCAAGTCTATTTGTTTGATACAGGTATCCCCTGGGGGCAGTATGCCCGCCTGGTGACCACACCAATAGTGCACATAGACACAACTGATATGTCCTTTGGTCTTCTAAACCTTGTCTTCACCTGAATTGCTGATATTTTGCTATTTGATCTTTATGAATTCATTATTTTATTTTATTTACGTATTTATTATTTTTTGAGATGTAGTGTTGCTCTGTCTCCCAGGCTGGAGTGCAGTGGTAATGATCTTGGCTCACTGCAACCTCCATCTCCCAGGTTCAAGCAATTCTTCTGCCTCAGCCTCCCATGTAGCTGGGATTACAGGCTTGTGCAACGACACCTGGATAATTTTTGTATTTTTAGTAGAGACAGGGTTTCACCATGTTGGCCAGGCTGGTCTAGAACTCCTGATCTCAAGAGGCCCACCTTAACCTCCCAAAGTGCTGGGATTACAGGTGTGAGCCACAGCAGCTGGCCTGAATTCATTATTTATCCAAAGTTTATATCTTCTTTTTTTTTTTTTCCTCCAAGGCCTTATTACAGTACTACATGTGATTCCAAAAAGTCCCCAGTGTTACTTCTCAGATTTCAGACCTAGGACAATATCTCTTTCCTGATAATTTGGTTTTCTGTATTACTAGCTACTGTGAGTGATATATTCTATTATGTTCCCCTTTTGCTTTGAATGCCTGAAAGATAAGCATTTGCTTTTGTGCACCATAGCAATAGTTTCTCCAGGCTTCATTGTCTGGGGTGATTATTGTTCCCATCATCCGTTGCCCATGGCCATTTTAAAAAAATGATGTTACAGTTTTTCCATGTGTAACCTTAACTTTTAAGATATGTCACTTTCATATTGAAGGTAAGAAAGAAATAGAGAAAAAGATGAGAAAGATACGGAAAGAAAAAGAGAGAGAAATGGGAAAATGAAACATTTAATGAAGTCTGGCTTTGCCCTGTTTTCTTCAGTTTAAGTTAATGATTTCTGTCTTGATCCGCTGACAAGTTCTTGCTCTGTATCTAA